CTCTCGAGCGGTGCCCGGGCTGCAGAGCCCAGCGTGTGACTCCGGTGGTGGATCCGCACAGGAATGCTCGCGAAAGGCAGCTACGAAGCCCTGATCCCACAGGCAAATCCCCACACTGCCCAGAATCAAATGCAGAACTGCCATCCAAAACCCAAATGTTTCAGCATCCTGGCTCACATTTCTGCCATTTCAAACGCGTGATTCACAGCAGCCAAGCCACAGCACAACCCGTCTCTTCAAGTCCTTCCCTCTGCAAACTGATTTCATCTGTAAGGCGCTTGGAGAAGAAAAATAGGGAAGCACATAGGTTATGACACACATTCTTATAGGACTGTTAATCTAGGAAATAGCTATATAACGCCTAAATAAATTGGTAAACTAAGAAAAGCAAATCGACAAACCTCAAGTTGGACTGTATGTTACCCTAGCAGAGCAGGAATATCCTCTACGAGACAACTTTGTTACAAGGGACATTACAGCGCAAGCGTGCCACTCTCAGTTCCTCCACACAGCACTAGTAAATCCAGCTGTACGCAGCGCCAGAACAACTCTGCGCTGCGACACGATGCTAGTGCAGTGGCACTCCGTTACTAGAATAAAGACCCTTTCTCTCGTGGTTCTTTGAAACAAATCTAAGAAAGGCAAGGCGAACGACTGTAGAGAAGAGTAAGTGAAAGCCGATCTTCTGTGGGCAGCGGCCAGCGCTTTGGAGAGCATGCTGTCATGTAACATCCTTGTAGGAAACTTGGCCCAATCAAACATTTCTATCATCAAAAGCGAGTGACCTGAACAGCTGGATATACTCTGCGAGAGGCGCAGGCAGAGCGCCGGTGCTTGCTCCTTCTGCCCCCCTGGCGAAGGGCGAGGGGCTCTCGCCTGGGGCTGAGCACCCCCCGCCCCAGCCAGCCCCCGCCGTACCCAGAGCCTCTCGCCGGGCAGCGGCTGGTACGCTCCTCCCTTTGGAGGCCCAGAAAACTTTTTTTTTCCCCTTCTTCTTTCATACCTAAAAAATTTCAAAGATGGAGTTGCACCTAAAAAAAACCCTTTAAAATCAGTTTCGGCAATTTTCCAGAAAAGCAGCACTACAAACCCAGGAAACTGATATATTACGGTAGAGAAACAAACCCAAAGTTGGTCTCAGTGCACTTTTTGGAAAATGTACGCAGCCTGTGGCCTTCTGCCACCAAAAACATGTCAGGTGTAGGATGTTTAGCATTTTAATGCACTCCAAATATTAAAAAGCATTGGTTTGGAAAAGTATCTGTTTGCCAGAATGCAGCTCCGGGTGCGTGGCCCAGGGTGGAGTGTTTCACCAACAACAGATCAGATTTGTTTGATTACTTAAAAGAATAACCCCAAGTTTAAACGCAGACCCAGCCGCATATTGTCACTGAAGCTCAGGCTAGCGGATGCTGCTGGGAGCGGGGGAGGCAGGAGGGAGCCAGGCTTTGCTCCCAGCACCGCTCATGGTCTGAGTAAATCACAGTTTTACCAGCACTTTCCCAGGTACTGGAAATGTACCTTTTGAAGACACAGAAGTAGAATGTTCAGGAATGATAACCACTATTTTAATAGTCGGTGGCTTACAGCAGTTAAAAATACAAAACTTTGCACAAGTATACACACCTACATCTACAAATACACAGACACATTTTAGGGATGGTGCTACTTCAGCATCCCTGTTAGGAAACAGATGGGAAGCAAGTTGACAGCTTTGTTATCCGTCTATGATTTTTCTGATTTGCAGCACATTTTGCCTTTTGCATTTGACTTAATCCTAACATCTTCAAACCTGACTGCCCCAAAATGGGAAACTTTCTTATCAGTGGTAACTGGAGATTCTCCAAGAAGGGTTGTTATGCAGGCCTGATATCAGACGTCTATACAATCGAGCACTTAAAGGGGAAGTTTTAATAGAGCACTGTTTAAGCAAGCACCAAATTAAGGGAAGTAGGTTGCTGATGAAAGGCGGGAGGAAGAAGACATCAGTTGGTCCAACGGTAGCAGGCTGAGGAATCTCCGAATACCCCCTTACAGCAAGCTGGGTAAAGCACAAGGAGTGCCTCTGCAGAACTGGCCCAAGAAGTCACCGCTGTGAAGATCAAGACGGGAGTTGAGCAGTGCAGGGCAGAGATCTCCTGGAGTTACAGCAACCGAGCCGAATGCCGCACAGAAAACTACCTGCAATCGTCCAGACACTGGCTATTTTTTGAGAGCGAGAAGGCTCTTGCAGAGTTGTGTTCTTCACAATGAAGAGTGCTGGCTCACATCTGTCATGTGGTCTGCCGGACCGAAGCAGCTCAAGCTTTCCAGCATTGTTAAAGGTTTCCAGCAGGTGAATCTGACACTGGATATGCCAGTCAAGATGATCACCTGCCTCCTGATACAGGTGAAGGGACCTGGCACAACTTCGCCACATTGGTGCTGCTAGCTGACACCTAAGCATGAACAGCCAGTATCAGCTTGACTGCAACCACCACGCAAGGCTGCATCCAGCATTGGAACAGACCTTCTCCTTCTGACCTCGTCCTGCTTGGGTAGGAAGGGCAGCTTCCAGTAACGGCAGATTTGTCTTCTGAATCTTTGACAGTCTGTGGTGGCCAGGAACTGAGCAAGTTGTCTTTGAGGAAACACTGAGATTTCCTGGAAGAGAGCGCCCTTTGGGTTGGAGCCCAATTCCTCCAAAGGATCTGGCCCCACAGTTACAAAAGAGTTATGTACGAAAAGCATCAGAAGAAAGTGCCTAGGGTGGTTACTCAGCAATTCCTAGCCCTGACATGAATGAAAGGGGCAGAATTTGCACAGCAGGAAAAACAGCTGGTGTAGCAGTCTCTGGATACCTGCCAGGGCTGAGATATAGCAGAGCTACCAAGAAGGGAAAGACTTTCACTACTGGATCTTGTCAAAATGCTTGGAGGACAGACGCTGGACTTGGAGCTCAAGGAAGCCTACTGCCTGTTTTCCTGAAGAGTCTGGTACAGCCTGATTAGTCAGGGCCTCTGAATCGGAGATGAAGCCGTTGACATTATCCATTCTGCACCTTTGTGAAACTTTGGCTTGGAGCCCCCTGCAGATGTTGCGCATCCCTTACCCTGGTGGTAACAGCACATGGGATGGCTGATCACAGCAAGACACGGGTTTGTTTTGGGGGAAAAATGGACAAGGAGCATGAATATCTCAGCCCCTAAGACAAGGAGAGAGATATGAAGCAATTCCCCTTTTTCCAAAGGAGTAAGTGCGGGGGAAATAAACAGCCGTAAAAAGACATCTTGACATAACTCAGAAAAAGCATAGCTGAAGTTTGAAAAAGCTGCAATGAAAAGTACCAACTCAGGCAGTCTACTGCCAGGAACAGAGGGCTGGGTTCATGCCCTGTGAGCACCACTAAAGCCAAGGACAGTCAGATCTGCATTGCACATGCAGCATACAGGAATATTTTAAGCACAGCTGCTCGAAGGAGCAGGCACTTTTCTGTTTTTCACTTTCAGCATGTTTAACTGAGGCCTTAGGCTTGCAAACTTAATGACAAATTGCTAACTCATAGCGCAAGCATATGAACACCACTGTCACAAGCAGAGGTTTGGGTTAAAATGTTCCCACCTGCTCTACCCAAACTCAAAATTATAGTTGTGTTGCTGAGGGGAAGCTATTGAAGGAAATAACCTTGAAGAGCGATAGGAATGAACAGCTGGGAGTAGGTTGGGGACAGTAACAATTTAAATTTCATCTGCCACAGACAGACTTGTTCAGCTCACGGTGCCCCCCTCAAAGTATTCACATTTAAGTCAATGGGGACTATTCATGTGAACAATAACTTGCACAACTGTGTGTGCAACCTGCTAGTCAGATGTTCACATCCTCTTGGGACTAGACAGATGCAGGGATATCAAGTACAACTTACACCCTGCAAAGAAGTCTTTGCTGTGCACATTCCTTACAGTATTTAGCATTCTTTGTGGTGGGAAGAAGAAATGCGTCTTTGATCTTGACAGGAGAGAGGTATCAGCTCTAAACAAGGAAAAGCTCATACAGAAACACTGAAGCATTAACAGACATATCTAAACAATATCCCCCACATATCTAAACAATAACCTCCACTGTTCTCATTCTTAGACTTTAAAAAAACAAACCAACCAACCAACCCCAAACAAACCACAAAAATCCAACACTTCAAACTGATCCGTCTCCTCTCTGTCGCCATCCGTTCCCTAGGCTGAAGGGAACGCCCACTCTTGCCACCTCTAGGGCAAGGTGAGCACTACAGCAGCAAAGAAAACCCACAACTACACGGCAAGTAGCTGTTCAGGTCTGTAGCATATACAGGTCTTAATGCTACAACATAAGCTAGCACAAACTCGGAGAAAAGTTGTTGCAGCAGCAAACCTCATGTTTCAGTTTTTCTTATCCTCTTCACTCCTACCCCCAAACTTCTCTTCCATGCTGTTTTCGCAGAGTATGGCATACCTGCAGGTGGGCAAAACTGGTTTTAAAAGGGTTTTAAAGCTATTGACTCAAACTGAGTTTAATAAATTTAAATTAATAAATACTGAAGGTAAAACTATCAAGGACAGTAAGGATAGTTTAAAGAAGCTGCTGGTCAGCTAAACAAAGCTATGAGATTTTACACTGTTAGAATAAAGATCCTAATTAAAGAACCATACAACTTACACACATACTTCTTACATTACTCCTTACATACTGATGAACATTTGCATCACTCGGAGACCAGGTTATCACACTGGCTGCAGCTGCCAAAAACGCTGGTTGGGGTACTCACATTGAAACCAAATTCTGCTGTGTTCTCTCCAGCAACTTGTTCTCATAAATTAATGGGGAAGATGGTGTAGCAGTATAACTCAAAAGGAAATGCCAGAAGCTCAAAATACTTTGAAAAATGTGTCATTTTATTTGTACACTTCCAAAGTTGTACGTAGAAACTTATAGTACAGTCCTGTAAATTTACTCATTGCTAGAAGAACTGCCAGGGACAGGGGAAGGTATTTATTGATTGATCATCAAGTTAGAGGGGAATAAACAAAAAAAAAAACCCCAAAACAAAAACAAAAAACCCACACTGGAAAAAAATTTTAAAAGTTATGGAACTCTTTTTTTTTGTTTTTAATCCCCACATACAAATTTTATAAATACAAAACAAATTCACAAATTACTTTGAATGCTAAATAAATATCTACTTAATAAACTCAGACTGAATACCTCCAGCCAGCACTGGTACAGTACTTAAAAGATATGCAATTGTACTCATTCATGTGTAGTGTTGAGAAGATATGCTCAAACAAGTTTTAAACACACACAGTTTCTTCAACTGTGCTACAGCAGAAGATTTTATCTGAGTTGATAAAGCCCTCAATACCACAGCTCCTACAAAATCTAGAGGATGAAACAAAGTCATTTGGTGCAGGAAAAAACAATGTACTTCTGGAAGATATTTGGACACATGAATGTATTAAAAATGTACAAAACCTCTGTAAACCAGTACTGTATCCAGTACATCTATCAAAATTATTAGACACTGAATAAAACTGTAGCAAAGGTAATCTTTCCTACGTTCTCCTGAGTGCTTAATATTACATCGAGAATATAGTGCAGGCCACACTTCAAGGTGGTTGAACAGTTGTTATTGCTTTATACAGGTATGACGACTGCGTGATTTAACATTTCATTTTAATGAACATAACAGATTCCCTCAAATAATCCTTTGGAAGGCAGAGGTTAGATTCGTGACTTCTTTGCCGCGGGAGCGGCATGGTCCACATTACCAGATGTGATCGGAAGTCCAAGCTTTTGAGCCTGAATGTGGAAGAAAGCTTGAAGTCTAGTTCCAGCTTTTGCTTCACTTGTGTTACGAGGGTTGTATTCAAAGCAGTTCGAAAACATCAGCTCAATGTCTTCAATGAATTCCGCTAGTAAATAAAAAGTAAATAAATTAATTTAGTGTGTCTCAAGTCATCAGAGAGCAGTATGACACCATTGAATTACTACAATGATCCCACACAGAGTTGCAACACAAAAATGTCTTTACATATGTGTCAAGTTTCTATCATTATATTAGTGGAGTGCCATGTAAACATTCTTAAATTTCTCTGATTATCAATAAAGAAAATACAAATCAAGCCGTAACAACAGTACCTTTTGTAAATATTTCAGTATCACTCACTGACATCGAAGGCTTGAGAAATTACCAGCCGTTTCTCAGCTGCTCATTTCTTATCTATCTCTACATCATGTATTTTGGTAGTAAAGGAACTACGTTCAACAAATCTTATTTAAAAAATATTAGTAAATGCTCTTTTAAAAAAAACAACCAAACCACCACACCCCCCCCCAAATCCCAAACCAAACACAATTTCAGCTTTCTAATCCTCTGACACAGCTCTAGTTTAGGACAAGAATTTATTTTAAAAGAGAGAACAGGGTTCATTACCTCTTTCAATAAATAATACTTACATGCTAACTTATATTCACATTTATTCACTTTTTCACGGATTATATTTAAGGCAATAGGTTTTTTGATGATATCATAGTAGTCTGGTACCTTTAAAAAACCAAACCAAAAAAAAAAAAGAATGATTCATAAACAAACAAATGGAAGCTTAAAATTCCACCTATGTAAAAAATTAAGCAAATAATGTATAAGCAGAAAGCATTTGGGTTTTGTTTTTAAATAAACAGAGGAGTCCCAAGCAACCACCTCCATTTCCTAAACTGAGTATTAGTTTTCAGGTATTGCTTTTCCATGTTTTATATCATTAGAGTAGCAGACCACAACAAACAGTAGCCAGCAATTCAATGAATAAATTTAATCCTAAATACCCTGTGAACAACTGTAAGAAAATTGCATGAGCAGACAAGCATTACAGTGTTCCAGCTAGTCCCATCTGTCAAGCGCAAAAATTATTTCCAAGATTTTAAAACTTTTCATTTTCGTGTAACATACTACAATATTAAAAGCTCCTTAATCATGAGTAATGGCCATTTTTCTCCACTACCATTCACCATCTTGCAGTCTTGCAAGAGAAATGAAATCCTGAGATTCCATTTAGTTGTGTTGAAGAGAAGGTAGTGAACCTTTCTGTAGCAAGCAGGACACAGTACTCAGTGCCAGAGATAAAGAGCCACTCAGAACAGCATTTATGTGATAAAAGTGAGGGGAGGAAAAGGATTGCTTAACCCTTAAGGGCACTCATCATTTGGATCACAGATTTTGAATTCCAGGTAAGCACCAAGCTTAGGGTGACACTGTCTCACTCACAAAGCGGGGCAGGGGGACAAAAGAAAAGGATATCTGATCCTAATTTGATATTCCCCCCCTCCCCCCAAGAAAAGATACCCACATGCACCATCATGTATGTTTTAAAACCAAGTTCTTGGTTATGGCCTGTAACTTTACTATATCAAGTGCAACCTGCAAACAAACCTAGAAAAAGCATTAGTAGAGAAATAGAGTTAGATTGACACATTTTTCATTCCTTTCCCTTTAGGAGTGCTGTTTACATAAGTACTAAAAAGAAAGGTGTTTTTCTCTTTCTGCCTTGCTGTGCACTGATCATTCAGTGCATTCTTTATATTGTCTTAAAGACAGCATAAAGTTTAACCCAAAATTTCTATCATGATGAAAAAAATTTGGGTCACTCAGGTATGGATTTTTCTTTCCGAACTATACAGAGACTATCCCTTAGTGATTGATTCAGGCAAACTGGAAAGCATTGAATTCTAGCAGTTTCTTTTCAGGATCAAAATTAAAGCTGAATTCTCCATCCCTCCTTAAGAAGCTTCCTTGCATTCACCAGATTCTTGCACTTTCCAGTGTAATTCCTGTACTCTAGTAGGCAGACACTAGTCTGTTTCGTTCAAAATTCCTCTCCTCCTCCTCCTCGGCGCTTACATCTTTCATTCACATTTGTACATCATTCTTTTTGTCCAGATACATTAATCCTTCCAGCTATCTGTGACTCTTCAGAGTTTCAAGTCTTCATTTAACAGCTATCACTGTTAATTTTAATAGAGCACTTAAAAACACAGAGCTCTAGATCCTGCAAGAATGTCTCTGCAGCGGGCTTGGAGAGGACAGGCATGTTGCTCCAGAGGGCTTGGAGAGGACAGGCATGTTGTTAGAGGATAGTTCCAGCAGTGCCTTACAACTGACAAGCCAGTGCAGCCTGCAGAAAAGCAGACATGCTTTGGGAACTTTTATTGTAATACAAACCTCTAAAGAAGCACTTACTTTGGGTACCTACTTTACCATCAAGTATTTTAAAATCGAAACAAGAGGGAAATTAAATTAAGAACTAAGCTAAGAAATCATCTTTTTACTGCATTACAGTTAACATCAGAGTGAAGTTGTTCCTACCTTGTTATTTATTGTTCTCAAAATACTTTTGCGTAAGTTGAAGATTAATTCAGCTAAGTAATTAATAACCATAAGCTTACCTTTAGCAGTCCCGTGCTCAATTTGGTGTGGGGTTTTGGTCCCCTCCCCCCCAATCAAAGCATTTCACATTTTAAAATGCTTGATGGCAAGCATACTTAAAATTTTTCCAATAACATGTCAATTAGACAAGTTACTTCTGGCACCAAATATATGAGCTGAAATGCAAGAGTTCTCTTGAATCCCACGGCTTAGCTGTATCCCCCTGTTTGGGCAATGCTATAAAATCCCAAGTTTTACTGGCAGCAAACAGGATTCTCAACCATTATCATTCCCTCTACAGTTCTATTAGTTACCTGGATTTTGGAAACCAGTTTCATGAAAGGCCAGCTGTCATCATGTCGTACCAGTTCCACTACGAGTTGTTCAAAAGCTGAGAGTTCATGGACTCCCCCTTGACGTCCTGAACTTCTCCTGTTCAATGAGGTCTGAGGAGATGATTCTGGAAGAAAAACAACACCCCACCAGATAAAAATAAAAACCTGACAAGTAAAATAAAAAAAAAAAAAATTAAAAAAGTGAAACACCATTATTCTTGGGTACTAAAACTGTAATTTCACGGCACAGCTCATGTAGTTTGGCTTCAGGTATTAACTATACTACAGCCTTGTTATTAACCACTAATGTCTCTCTTGCCATACAAAATGATAAGTAACAGGACTTATCTGGGTTCCTCCTCAATTCTCCTTCATCGCATTAATTTTGGAAAAGATTTTTTTCACTGATTTCAATTTTAAAACAATTTGTTACACATTTAAAGAAAAGCCCTATTAAACAAAAACAGAATAAGCCGCCTGCTCATAACTTTTACTTCCACAAAACCTCTATTCAGCGTGGTTTTATCTGCTTTCAAGAGTAGTCAGCAGGGTGGTTAGAGGATAAGCCCAGAAACTCCCAATGGTGAAGGACAGAAATGATGCAGAATACAAGGCTGCCACACTGGAGCGCAAGCTCTTTTACACTCTTCAGTCTCACACTGGGTCCTTTTTGTTTTTAAAAGGTTATTGTGGCTTTCCAAGTATTTCCCTACCATCAAATACTTAGTATTAGTTTAACAAGCAAGGACACTGCTAGCCCTATACCAGATAGACAACATTATTCTTCTGGTAGCAGTTTCTTGCTGTACGTTTCACTACCTTGCCTGCATCTGTGTTCTTCACTGTTTAACTCTCAATACAACAAAACCATAAAAGCTGTAAGTAAACATTTGCACTTGCATGGGTTAAGGCATAAATACCACTTTCACATTTTCTATCCACTTATTAGCAATTGCTCCATATTGTGTGCAAATATGAAATGTCAAAGATGGATATGATAAACCTCCCTGGCAAATTAAGTATTTGTTCTTTAGATAACTGAAATTTTTTTTAAGGTTCACTTCTGTCACTGCAAAAGAAGGGAACTGTCTTGTTGGAAGTGGTAAAAATGCCTTCAACCACCACTTCTAGTCTCCTTGCTCTACCACACAAATATTTTAGCAAGGAACAGAACGTGGTTTTCATTCTGGACAAACATATTTCTCTAACCTGTGGATTGTCGTTTCCTGCCTCTTCTCTTGGGTTCAGTAACAGGAAGAGAAAGCTTTGAAGCAGAAACTGGATACTTCCTAAGCCGTTCGTTCGAGTCTGCAGTATCAACAATTCTAAATCCGAGAGAATTGGAAGGACTGTTTTCCAGTGTGTTATCAGCACTCTTCCTTCCTCTTCGTCTTCTTCGAGGACTGAGTAATTCCACAAATACATCTGCTTGTAATGAACTTTGGCTCTGACGAGTGGTCCGGCTATTAAGTCTTAAAGAAGGCTTTGTCACTGATGGAGGGGCCGATTTTACTTTTCTTAAACCCCTTCTGGTAACTTTAGATGAAGATTCAGTTTGCTTACGTGTGTTTTGCTGACTCCGAGAAGTATATCTTGCCTGACGCTGGCTGTTCCGACTTGAGAATGGATTGTTGAGTTTGGCTGCTCTCATTTTTAATGGAAGCTTCACCTGGGGTCTTCCTTGCTTTGATGGGCTACAAAAAGTGAACAATTATGTTTATTTATCCCAAAATTCTATTCCTCTCTTTTCCCTCAGTTTTCTAGTTCAGCATTTAAGAAACCCAACCATTCAAAGTTGGACTGGTAAGCAGCTGGCTTTCAAGCTGATGCAGTCATCCAATTACCATTATCTTAAATACTGCTCTGAAGTCTCTTAATTAAATATTACGTGGAGCACATACTTTAAAGAAATGCTCAGAATTCTGATCACCCTTTCAGCTTGTGCAATATGAATGCATTAACTGGAGCACCAGCTATCAATTTCTTTAAATCACTTACTTATTTCTCACAGCAACGGTAACTACTAGGATTTTTGAACAGTATTATCAGCTACATAAATAAACTGCAGTTCTAAAATGCTAAGTATAAAAGTTATGCTCTAGTCAGGGTTTATAACTAATACTCAAGACTCCTTCCATTACGGGAGAGAAGGAAGATCCCAGAGATAAATTTACTTCAACGATATGCAAGTTCTCTCCAACTACTGAATCTGAACTGTCAGAGCCGCAAATAACCTTGCTTCAGTCAATTCAAAAGACTGTACCAGAAAGAAGAAAAATACTCCAAGATCAGGAAAGTTTCCTTCAACTTTTACACTCCTGGCATGTCTATCAAATCCATCACTTTACTGAAATTATCACATTGGATTATTTAGTTGTTTGGGGTTTTCTTGGTTGGTTGGTTGGTTGGGGTTTTGGGTTTGTTTTGTTTTTTAAAAACAGCTACTGCAGAAGTCCTCACGTCCTCCCAATATCACATAGCCTCCGACGGATGACCTTGTCTTCCCTAATGTTTCAATACTTACTGTATGCATCTAGTGCCCCAAAATTCAAAATTGGACAAAGACAACTCCAGGTTTTCTCCAGAAAATCTTTGCTTTTTGAAATTCTCTCCGCTTTATGTTCTTTATATTCAAACAGTAGCTGTACAGAACTACAACTCTGACAGCCATCTCTCACCCACACATCCAAGGCTGGAATTTTCATCCTGAAAAGTGAGTCTAAGTCCAGTGGACCTAACTTCTGTTAATATTAAACTCAGCAGTAAGAGCCAAATTCATAACAAGCTGCAATTTTTTTTTTAATAAACATCAACTTCAGATGGGATTTTCAAGATATGTGCTTATGTGAAAAATTATTCCACCTAATAATCAAGATGATATTTCTGTAGGAGACGACTTCAACGGATGTCTATTTACCTTATCTCTTCTTCCTCTTGAGATTCATCCTCCTCATCTTGCTCTTCTTCATAATGCTCTTCCTCACTTTGTCCCATTTCATCGTAGTTTGCCTCTTCTTCCCCTTCTCCTAGTTGTTCAGCAGTCTCTTCATCACTTTCCACAGAAGGTCTCTGTCTGGAGGAGAGGCGTCTAGAGCGCTGTTTTGGTCGGCACTCTGGACAAAACCAGTCTCCTTCAGGAATGACCTAGAAACAGAAGAGGAAAAAAAAAAAGCAAGCATTAGTAATATGCAATTAAGTCGTAAGAACTACTCAAGTTTTGTGCGAAAAGGAAGCACTTCTTTTTCCTCAGATACCTTGAGCTTGGGCCTGATACAGTAAGTATGATAGCCTCGATCGCAGCCATCACACAGCACCATGCTTTCTGCATCGCCTTTCTTTCGACACACTTTACAGCGAGCATTGAGGATGGACTTTGACCAGATGACACTTCGATCCAATGTAGACAGATGAAGGAATACTTGGGACAAGCTGGTAGAAGAAAGAAGTGACTCTCTCCAGCGATCCAAAACTGTTTTATAGGATCGTCCACCATCACTGGCATCTTCCATTAAAGAAGGGGATTTAAAAAAAAAAAAAAAAGAAAAGAAAAGAAAAGAAAAGAAAAAGGGGAATGATCAAACTTCTTTTTCAAACATCCAGGTTATTCTAGACTATGAAGTAAAGCTCTGACTTTCAGATAGCAGTAGTAAACTGTGATAATAATACAACCTTTGTCTTATCTCTTCAATACTTGCATATTTCCTCCTTAGTTTCCAAGCTGCTGAAGCCATAAGATTTTACTCTTCAATACCAATTCAACTTAGAACTTGCACATACATAGGACACGAGTAAGACATAAAATTCTTAATCAGATGTCAACCTGGAAACCTAGCAATTTGATTCAATTTATAAAGTATAAATGAAGATTACTTAAGATTTAAAAAAAACCCCAAAAACCAGCCAAACAAACAAACAAAAAAATCACACTCTCAATTTACTTTCCCTTGCAGGTACATTTTGAAATCCCAAAATATTTACATTTAAAGAAAGTACCTGGCATTAAACAGAGACTTCACTGGCAAAAAACAACTTAAAGGGCTCTTCTCACCCGCACTTGCCCCTGCCCCGGTATAGCCTAGCAGACATTTTTCAGCCCTCTCCCCACGCCTCAATGCCTTTATTCCTGCCTTGCACTCCACCTTCACAAGAACCTGCACGTCTGTGTGGTTAACCAGACTGGGCAACTGGTCTGGTTGAAATGTAACTGCTTTCTTGATATTTTATAAGCAATGTAGCACACATGAATCTGTGGTACACACCTACTTGGCAAACCAAGTAAGACCTGGGATCCTAATTAAGTCAGAAATAAATGGGGAGGGAGGGAAGGGGTGAGAAATTATATTGTATTTTCAAACAGGTTTGGTTTGCAATCCAGGCCACTGAAGCGGCCACAGAAATACACATGCAGAATAGCAAGGGTAGCAGTACCGAACGGCAATGAGCAGCTGGGAATTATAGAAACAAATGAGCTGTTTGAGGAGCTAGAGAAACAAGAAGGTATAAATTACACTCTGCACAACTGCTGCTGCTGAGCAGAAAGGGAATTTCTTTATGAATGTTGAAAGCTATTTCTTGCATTTTAAAGTAAAAAGGTTTGAGGAGAAGAAAAGTCAATACAGCAGTACTTTTGATTATAGAAACATCCCCAGATTTCCCTTCTAAAAGTGATAGTCCAGTTATTACTGTATGTTCTCTAGCCAATTGATGATGCACTCCAGTATAAAATGACACCTTGTCTGCTGCACCAGTCACAGTGGGCACAGGAATGGCCTACAATCCACCCGTCTGCCAAATGTTTTCTCCTCAGGAATAGGAAGAGAAAATATCTAATAACAAATAAAACGAAAGAACAAAAATGAGACTAATTGCTCTCCTGGCAAGGGCTTTCTGCCTTTTCATCAACTGGCTGCCAGGATTTGCCTAATCTTGCATACATTTGCATTAGCCGCAAGCAGCACAAGAGCAGCGATGGGAGAAGGCAGAGGATAAACAGGCAATACAACTTCATTAATAAAATATAGCCACTCCTGAACTGCAAATACAAATCCGGATTTCCTAAAATTTCCTATTACTTCATCCTTAGGTTTCCTGTCTCAAGTTCAGTCTTACCAAGGATAGTGGACAAGGTCTTTTTCATGGCACTGCAGTATATCTCTCAATGTATTTTTTAAAATTCAGTAAGAAGAAAATTAAAACCGCTTGTCAGGACACTAGAATCTACCATGAGACCCACTTCAGTTCTCAGTTCTGCTGCAGACTTCTACTATAACTCTGGCAAAGACACTTTATCTTACGTGTATATATAGTCTGGCAAGCATTTCTTTTGCTGACAGTGGCAGCTCAAGCATTATTACTTTTTTTTGGCGATTATTTCTAGCCTGGATTGGTTCACCGATATAGTTCATCACACAACACAACAAATACTTGCACTGCAAAATGGCAGTTGCAACCTAGAGAGAGAAATTACTGACCACAACCTGCTTCAGCATGTCCTGCTGCTGAAAGAAACACGCCAAACGACACCCGCTGTTTCAGATCCCAATTTGTAAAATAAGAATAACACTTTTTTCTTCCATCCATCATCTTTCTCATTTATATTGTTAACTTGGAGGGAGAAACGGCCCCTTCCTTTGTGTCTGAGCAGCTCTACATTGCCCAGTGGGATACCCCTCTGTCAGCTAAGCCCTCCAAGCCTTGCTACAATGCAAATGAAGTTGTTTGACAGATCTATGCACTCATCTATCAATAGCTAATTGAGTTCAGGGAAGGGTTTTCCATTTTAGTATTTCTAGAAAGGATATGCAGTTGCACAATGCTGCAAAGTTTCAAAAAAACCGGGGGCATTAAAAGGAATGGGGGTGAAGAAAAAAAAAAAAAAAAGGATTATGTGAACATGCAGATTTCTGTCCCAAAGTGATAAAAAGAAAATACAGTTCTTTATCTCTGGCTGCAGAAAACTTAAAAAAATATTCTTGAGCTGTATTTGGTTTACTACCACGTTTAAGCCTTTGGCTTCAATACTGCAATTCTGTCAATGGAAGGAACTGGCTACAAAATTATTAAAGTAAAAAAAAGAAAAAAAAAGAAAAAAGAAAACCTGATATTCAATACTTCCTAATTGTTAGCAATACAAGTAACATTTAAAATTTACCATCTCTCTGACTAGTCTTGTCTTCCACTCTCTTCCTCTTTTTATCCCCCCAGTGGTTCCTTTTATCATCTTCTGCATCACCTAACATTAAATTCATAAAGTTATTTCAAATATCTTTTTGAAGCATGGCAGATTATTTTTTTTAATTAATTTTTATAATCTATACTTGTGTAGTCTAAAAATGTAACTAGAACAGTGGTTCCCAACATGTGCAAAAAAACGTAGGCAGGGAAGGGTAAGAGAATAATGCGCATGGAGGAATTGCACATCTCAGGATTTACTCTGACTCCCACTTCAAACAGAAGGCTTAAATTGAAAGCTCTTAAACCTACCCTCCCTTACCTTTCTGTCCAACTCTGGTACAAACGGCTATAGCGGCAGCTTACTGACCACAGGTTTCTCTCTCAGCAAACAACTTGTCTGGTCTATGCTACCATGAACCTCCTAACATCTCAAAAATATAGTCAGTTTATGGGCACAGTCCTCAAGGACCAAGAGAACTAGCTCGTCTGTTCATGTGAAACAACATACTTAAGACATTTTTGTGCAGGAGTGTTCTCGAGTATTAAAATGATGAAATTACTCTCCCAGTAAGTAAGAGCCATGGTAAACCTCATCTGCTCCAAATGCAAGATACCTTCTTTGACTGCCTTCTCTGAAAACAGAAATTCTTCATGAGAAAAAAAGCCCACTTCCACCTTCACTGCCTCTGCTCATGAAACTCTGCAGGGAAGTAACGAAACCACGAGAACAAAGCATGCATATATACTAATCCTATCCCAGTTCACTGCTGGAAGATGTCTGATGCTATTATAAGGAGGACAATTATAAATAGAAAAGGAAACAACTTTGGGAGTAAAGGAAACAAAAATAATCAAAATCTAAAAAGAAAGGAATGGAACAAAGACAAGCAAAAAGGAGCGAAGAAGCTGTGGAGTTTTTTTGTCCTGCAAGAAGTGCAAGGCACATGTTAAAAAGGAGGTAAATGGTTCCCAATATCAGTCACAAAGGTGCTCCCATGAATTAGAATCCGACCTTTCGTATGGAAATCTGAAGGATGCTTAATGACTAGTCCTGCACTAATGCAGAAGGCAGGGTTTTTTTCGTGGCTGCCTCACTGAACTCCAGGGCAACCAAAACACTTCATCATTTTATACCTCAATTTTCACATATATGTAATAGGAATGATGAGACCTACTTCCCCACGGCAAAGTATTTTGAAATATAAGGAAAAGTAATTCATACTAAAAAAGAACAAAAATCCACAATAAAAATTGCTTGTATTTCTTCACCCTCAAACATATTTTTTATCTGAGAAGTAGCACTTCAGAGTTTCCATCAAACAGCTATTTAAAACAACAACAAAAAAAACGAAACAAAAAAAAGGCTTTTTTTACATCTTAACTCAGAATTTTTGCAGGAAAAACACATACTGCAAGATGCAACCCCTTTTTTGTGATTTTCCCCCAACATTACCTTGGGCTGGACTGAAGGAAGAACAACAAAATTTTCATAGCTAATGTGTAATGAAAGGCTTTCTAAAACACAATTCATAATTAAGAAATGCATACAGTTCAAGTCATGTTACATTTAATCACCAGACAACAGAAGATTAGCGGCCATCTAGCAGCTCTGCAAAGCACAGGGTGCCGTTTCTGGGGTTTCTAGATCTCCATTTGCACTGCTATCTTCTGTGTCAGTCTTTTCTCACTCTTCCACTTGAATATTTGGTATGCACCTCAACTCTAAACTTATCAGAATCACCAGCGAGGCTCTTGGCAGCCTGACAGAGCCTCAGAACAAAAACGGAGCAGAGAGGAGCAGCTGGTCCTTTTATTGCTGCACTGGGTCCCTTTGTCTGCTCTGCACCCTGGAGGCCACCGGGATAAACTTGCCAATGACTGCAGTAAATTTCACTCCGCTGTCTTTAGTACTAGGAGCTGTAAATAGAGTGAAAACTAAAAATTGCTAAGTATGGCTCCATTTCCTAACAGGAACAGAGCACAGTGAAGGAGGGGAGAGGGAAAAGAAACTCCACAGTGAAGGCAACAACTGAAATCATGACAAAGGCAAAGGACGTTCAGTTTGCAGAAAATGCAGGGGTACTCTTTTTACCAAAAGTGTTCCCCTGTACTGCTACCAAAACACAACTCCTAGCACTTGCTTGATTTCCAGTGGTTTTACTTCAGTGGTAATTAAATCAGCTTAAAAAGTTGGGTTTGTCAGGTTTAACATTAGAAACAGATATGCAGGCATTTTGTCTAGGGGATGGTTCCATTAAATAGTTGGAACAACTATAAAAAAAAACTCCTGTTAGGAAAAAAAAAAGTGTACAGACACAACGATCTATATAAGAACAAGCAAACAAAAACAAAAAACACACAAACCAAAACCCAGTGCTTACAAACTAAAAGCTAATTTCTATCCTCAGAGTACTGTCGTCCACTTCCTGGCGGGGTCAATGAAACAGGGCACCTCAGTTCTGAGCACAATCCCCGAGCAAGAAGCAGTGTCCACTTTTTATTAAAAGGTTTAGTAACACTACTAACACCTGCTTGTCAAGCTAAGTAGGGAACTTTTCTTTGCCTGTTATACATATGCAAGTTGCAAACTAAGAAACAGAACTTGCTGTGGTAGCATGCAAAGACATTGTTTCCAACTGGGGAGCATAAACTGAACTTAAGATTATGCAAATTTTACACTCTTGTTTTTTTAAGCATGTCTGAAACATTGAAGAGTTATATCCAGAAAGGGCTGCATCCAGAACTGCTGCTTGACCTCTAAAGTGTCTAAGTTTGCCAGATGCCTCTCAAACAGGTTTTCTTGACACTTTGCAGTTGCGCCTTCTGATCACGTCCAGACATTCCCTAGTCAGAGCACCTTTCATACAGCTAGCTGCCTAGCGGTCAGAAAGTCATCAGCAAATGGATGTGTTTTAAACTTTCTTTACTACAGAGCCACTCAAAGTCGCAGCTCCTCCAAGAGCTCTCTAAAATCTTGCCTTCCTTCGTTCTGCTAAAAGCGGCCCATTACACAACCAAAAACATGAGATGCTTGGCACCAAAGGTAAAGCAAGGAAGAGGGAACCTGACACGGTTGCTTAATGGTTAGGGCAGTAAGCCAGAGCAGAGGAGATCTGGGATCCTTCCTACTCCCTCAGCTATGTAGGTTATTCTATACATTACAGTAATCTTACAGCGGTACCATTTTTCAGAGCAGAAGAGATGCACAGGCACAGTATGGTAAACGAACAGATGAGATTTAAGACATGCAAATCACGTAAGATTGCTTTCCCTATGTACTTTCTTTGTCACACAGTATAAAGCATCTAAAGGAAAATAGGATTCCCAAGTTAAAAACAAAGAAGAAACCCTACCACCATCAAAAGGTCAGGCAAAAATATGAACCATCATTGATCATGCAGAGCTGGGACCACTGAAAAAAAAGACGTAGGAGGATTGCTAAAAAACTTTCTCTCTAATACTTCAGGGACACTTTTCTTCTTTTAGTCCTTTTCCTCTAATTCAGGATGCCCGATCTATGGCCGCAACCTACTAATAGCCATGTTCTTCCCCTTAAGGGCACACTGTAGTAAACTTCCAGCTGTCAGCAAGATGCTGTCGCCAAAATACTCCCAGAGAGAATTGGAAATGGAGGCATATACTGCCCAATGTATTTACCACCTGCACATGGCAGAGTAAATATGACAAACACTAAATGTACTGTCAATTAACTGTTCCATGCATGTGTTGTAAATCTTGTCATACAGCAGGAAACAAGCTGTATCATGCCTGGCTTGGAAAGGGCAGACATACTTGAGTTGACCAAACAATTAGCCAAGTAAAGCTTTTAAACAGCTGTGGTTTAAACTACTCCTATGCTCTCCCCTTTCATCTCAATCATTTGCTGCATTTCCCTCTTGTAGAGGTCATCACACTGATAACAAAGGCTTGTGGAAGGGAACGCATGCCTGCATGTTAGAGTCTCTGGCACAAATCTAGCTCAAACTCATCTTCAGTGGCAACTGATATCCAGACTCCATGCAGGAGCAGCTGAGATGCAGAAACAGTTTTCGGTCAACTGTGCCATGGGGCACTAACGTCTAGTGTTAATACACCAAAACCTGCATTTTCATCTTAAACTACTGCAGCAAAATCTGCCAGAACCCAAGGATTTTGTATGGAGTCATTATCAGAGGAGAGTATCAATTTAATAGGATGTGAAGCAGTTCATGCTCTGGAGGACCCCTGGTATATGCTGTGCTGGTAAACCACGCTGCACTCTTCGAGTGAAAAGCAAAGCAGTCCAGCTGAGCACGGAGCACAGCTCATCCTCAATGTGGCAGCCGCAAGGGAAGCCTGGCTGAGACAGCTGCCTTGGGAAGGATGAACCACCTTTACACATTTCTCCAAGATAAAACTCCAGTTTTGAATTGCAAAAGGATCCTAAGGAATCCAGACCTAAGGGATCACTGGAAAACAAAGTTACTTTGTGCACTTTGGATCCCCTCTCTCACCCCTAGAAGACGTCAGAGGAATTCAAGGAAGGAATATGCGTTGAAGTCAAGCAATAATCGTGCTTTGGTTTAAATTTTTCTTGCAACCTTTTATTTCCAAATTTTATAAATGCAAAACCTGAGGATCTGAAAGTTCGCAATGTAAATCTTGACTATGTTTTACTGTAAATATTCTGTTATTGCTGAACAAGGTGATCCAGACAAACCAGTCCTATATTGCTTTCACAGAAACAGTATAAAAAGGACCATACATTTTTACAGCCTAAAAACACACAGAAGAAACTCATTGTATAGTTGCATGATACATTGGACTCGACAGTAATGCTGAATTACAGACTATTCCTCCAGAAAGCTCATTCATTTCTGCCTAAGGGTACAGTTTGTCTCCCAATGCATCAGTATAATTGTAGGGCCACATAAACAAGATCACTGAAATTATCCACGTTAAATAGGCATGTATTTAGGAGTAAAATATGCTTTACTTAATTAATACATGTAATTCAGGACATGCAGAATAATAAGAAAAATATTAATATTTCCTCATAATATATGGCCTTATATACTGACAATCTAAAATTTTTTGATTTTACAATAGTACATAGCAATAGGTTAGTCATTTGTTCTTTTCCCCAACACATCCCTCTAAAGCATCCAGTCTTACAAAAGCAGCAAGTGGGTTTGTGGGGGGGTTGGTTTGTTTATTACAAAATCTTACACAAAATTAGAGACATACAGTTTCAATTCTGAAAGCTTACCAAGAGGTGCTTTGAGAAACCTGCGCTCAATTCCTTGTTCTATCTGAAGCAGTGCAGATGCCAAGTAATGGACCACGTTATTAACTGGCTGAGGAGTACTTGTACTTGTTGATGCAGCGCTTGGAGCTTCAGTTTTTAACCCAACGAGTCTAGAATAGAAGTGTATTAAATTATCTTTTTTTTTTTTTTTAACATACTTGGAATTTAACACCATAGATACTTGTAAAGGTCTGTATCCACAGTAGATTTTTATTTTCACTTCATTTACATGCATGGACTATGGACATGAACAGATACTGAACAGGTTGGATTAGTTATCCCACTTCGAGTTTGCTTAATTAGTCTAGCTAATCTAGATAAATCATCTTTAGGTAACAAAGTTATCTAAATTTCACGAAATGTGGATGACAAATTTCAATACAATTATTAAGATTTCCAGAAGATTTGATGCAACATTCATCAGCTAGTTTATGAGAGGTTTCTGTGAAGAATATAGTCCCACTAATTCTTCAGTGAAAACACTTCCAGTGGTGAGGTGTAGCCTTTTAGAATACTTCTATCTGCAAGTTCAACTACATATATCCCCACAATTAGTAAGATTTTTGAAAAGAAAATAAATGAAATAAAACCAGAAAGTAATTTTAGAATGTTAAATCAAGAATTGTTAACTTATACATTCTCATCCTTGGAGGATTTTTCTAAAATACTAATTCTTCATGTGAGGAAAAAAGGAAAAAAAAAAAAAAAAAAAAAAAAAAAGGGTAGGTTTCCAATAAAACAGCCTTCTTTGACCAAAGACTAAGTCATCATTTCAAAGTGTAGTTAATCTTCCTGAACCACAAACAAGTATAGTGTAGGAGAGCAACTCACACTAATGAAAATAAAATTCAATTTCTACTTGGGATTTATAAAAAAAATAACTAATTAAGGCTGTCTGAATTCTGCTTTATTCTGGTGAATGAGCAATGCTTTTGGTTGTTCCTGTTCTTTTTTCACACTTAAAAGCTGTTCATTATATTTTGCAGTCACACACATTTCAAGAGCCTGAAAGCAAACAGAAAAAAGCTGCATAGTTATTTACATTTCACTAGTCAAACTCCAAGGTCTTAATGAGATGTCACTCGCTCTGAGGTGGATAAAAAGCCCAGCATCAAAAGCAATCTGTCACATGATTTCAGAATCCCACAGTCTCTGTTTTAATATGCAAGACTTTATTAGAGTAGACTTTATTCAGAAACTTTGATGGAGTCAGTATCAAATGGAAAAAAAATGAAGCAACAAGCTTCTGCAGTTGAATTGAGAGTTGGCAATGGAGCAAGTGCCCAACGTAACTGGAGACAGATAAATTTTAGCTTCTTAATTAAAACAGTGGAATATTTCTATGTTGTGGTTTTCAGGAAGCAAATGCCTGTAAATTGTGTGTCATTAATATACAGAAGGATGACCCTATCCATTTTGCACGCAACTAGAGAACTCAGATCCAAAGGGCAGTCTTATATGAAAATACTAATTCAGAAAACTGAAATAAAAAGGGAGAAACCTTAAAGAACTTGAAATTCCTACATCCAACTCAGCATTCAGGAGTCCACCCAGAAATAAAGCTTTCATAAAAGTCTAATTGCAGAAAACCTCACAGAACACATAAGCAAACACTATGTTAGTACGCTGATCGCCTCCAATGAATCTTTTTTCCTGCAATATTTCAACATTCACATCCTATCAAGACATACAATTTTGTATGTATTAAGGTAGATGTTTATTTCTGAAAAGTATGTAAGTTCTAAGAATTAAATATTTAGAAATCTTCACAGTTTCTATAGTTTGGTTTACAACAAACACCGATAGAGTCCCACATCCGTCTCAAATGTTTGTTTAAAAAACAAAAACCAACAAAACACTTCTACAGTTGCAACACTATATGATTTGAGGTTTCCTCTCTTTTACTATGTTGCAGCTTGCTCTACAGAAGGATCATAATTCATAAAGTTGTAAGATTATATCTCTCTTTTGCTGCAGTGCTAAAGGTTAATCCAGACCATGGCCTGTTACACTGATGGTTCTTACTGTGACTCATGAAGAAGTACACTGGCCAGTTCAACTAGCAATTTGTTACTATTACCATTTGCCCTTTTAAATACTCCTACTCTTTCCACAAAGTGTTGGGGTGTTTTTTGGGTTTGGGTTGGTTTTTTTTTTTTCCCCTTTTTTTTTTCCCTGGAAAACAAAACAGAAATTGCCAGATTAACCTTTCTCTGCATTTTAAATGATTTTAAAATGAATTCATGTCCTTCTTATTTGATAACTAATGTACATTTTGAGCAGTGTAATATCTGAATAGTAGAAGTTGTAAAAATTGGTGTCTTAGTCTTATATGGTAATAGAACAGTGCCATTTAGAAAATATGAACCAATACAAAAATCTCACATTTTACAACTCAAATCTTAAAAAATACTATTCCAAAGAATTTGAAGGTAAAAACAATTTGAAGGTTTAAAAAAAAAACAGAGCACTGCTATAAAACTCACAGGGAAGAGACATTACTAAAACTATAGCTCTTACCTGTCTTTCACAATAAACTTATCTTGATCATCAGTTTCCATTTCTTCAGATTCTTCATTCACAGTTTTAATTACACCATTTTCTTTGTTTTCATCATTCAGAAACTCATACCGCCCATGTTCTAAGGCTGCTCTCCAAGACTGTCTGTCTGTAACCTGAAGCAAACACACAAACTTGAAGTTTCTAAAGAATCAAAGGCCACAAACTTTTAGTGCCAATTACTGTCTACACTTAATTTAATTATGCTTTCAGTAAAACCCATAGCATGCAAGAGTTCTCATTTAAGCTACAGACTCGACGGCACCACCGTTCTCCTAGGTATTCTACAATTCACAAATACCTTAATAACCCCCAATGTTCCTTGGTAGATCCTGTCTTCAATATCCAAAAGAAAGTCTCTAAGTCTCAGTTCAAGCTGCTTCTCTGCAGATAAGTGAGATCCATCATGGGCATTCTGCATCCTTCCCCGTCCTGAAAAAGGTCTGATGTCACTTTGAGGTTTGTCTGCAAAAACACCAAGTAACTTCGTGTTAGTGGACTTTGCTCCTCAAAGTAGCCACTGGTGGAAGGAGCAAAAGTAGTAACACACAGGTTCAAAACTCCCTTCCTGTAGCGACAGTTGCCAACACCAACATCTCCATGCCAACTAAGGCATCTGATCCAATCAGAGTATACTTTTAAGGGAAGACCTATAGATTAGCATCCGCTCATCCCAACACACAGGATGAGAAATTCTTGTCAATTTAAAAGTCATTCTTTTGTCTTAAAATGCTTTCTCTAAAGTAGGAGATAATAAATAACAAATCTCTGCTGTAAGTGCAAGGAGGAAAAAAAAAAACCCAAACAAGAAAGAGAATAAAGTCACATTTCTAGTACTTTTCATATTTGATGGCCCTTACTTTACAGAAGAACTTTTCAGTTTTCTTTCCTGCATAGATCTTAATCATGGCAACATTTAAAACAAGCATGTGCAACTGACATTCGCAAAAACTAACAGAACAAGATATAATCCCTTTTAAAAACCTAACTTTAAAACAAAACAAACAGATAAAGGTAAGATGACACAGCACAGACTAGACTGTGTCCTCTAATTAAAGGCGGGGGGAAAAAAAGGAACAAGGCAGCAAGGTAATTTATGAAAAAGAAGGGAAGAGCTGATGATGGGCTGTCAAGCAAAAACCTCTTCATAAGAGAACTAAAAATTCATGCAAAAGCTCAAAAGCCACAGGAAAGAGCTGATAGTATGCCCAGATCCTAAATTAGTGCTTGCAAATATGCATAGGTGGCAAATGTTTCTGTTCACAGGATTTATCTTAAATGTTATGAGTGCTACACTATTTTTCTTCCTCCCAAAGGTTTTAGCATGACCCTGCAATATGCTATCATTACCTTGTTCACAATAGGGGAGTGAAGGTTTTTGAATAATTTCATGCATTATAATGTTATGAAAGAACATGTGCTACTCAACAAATCAAGGTAATAGTAATCGCCTCCCTTTGCGATGTTTCTGTCTCCAGTGACATATCTTATGTCTCCTTTCATCATACTGGAAATGAGGACATCAGATGATCAATACTATAATTTACCTTTAGCAGATATTAATCTTCATTCCCCAGTTAATCTTTTCCCAAAACTCAAATTACTTCCTAAAGATGTTTGTTTAAAAGCCAATCCCATTTTACTAAGCAATGAGATAACAGAAAAATTATTGCTTTTTTTAGCATAAAATGCCAGAAAAACACCACAAAGATCCATCGGCGGGAAGAAAAAAAAAAAAGAGAAAAGAAAGAAAGAAAGAAAGGAAAAAACCAAACCTGTTTTCCATAGAGTGAAACAATGCTTAAGAATAATTCTTATTTCTTAGGAATTACAATTAAATGAGAATGAGAGGTTTCTAGAATATTATATAGAAATTACAGTTGTGGAAGCAAATTAAGATGAGGAACCTTTCATTTACCTGGAATATGGAATTTTTCCACAGGAAAACTGCTTAGTTGTTCATATATTCTACTTTTCTCTTGTAAAAGAGTTTCTTTTAAGGCACTCTCCCTATGTCCTCGGGAATTGAGAGCCTCTAGGAGTTGGTCCAGTTGTTCCCGAGAATTGTAAAAGCACCAACGGTTTGGTTTATATACTGGCCTTGGCACCTCTACGACAACACTGGTGTGTGAATCTTGGTCAATATTGGAGGTAGATTCAGAAGATTTCAAAGACTCTCCAGTTTTACTGAATACCTGAGGTTCATTTGTGCAAGACTGTACACTATTCTGAAAGGAAGAGATTCGAGGCAACAACATGTCTTCTGTGAGACCAGAATAGTCCTCTTCTATAAACAATCCAGGAACAGAGGGGAAAATCCAGTAGCGTCGGTACAAACGGTCACGACCTAACGGGGTGATATTTGTGCAGGCTGTTGCATTCTGAATCTTTTCTAACAGTTCCTTCTCTTTCTTTTGTTGCTCCTGTTTTAAAGCTTCTTCGTCTTCAGCAGTAAGAGGTTCACTCTTTTCACAAGTGGTCTCTTCTTGTCTTGTAAATTCTTTATATCCATTTTGCCCTCTCCTTCCTAAAAGTTAAAGGAAGAAGAATGATAGCAACACACTTAATTCTTTCTTTAACCAAAAACTCAAGTAAAGGGCGGGTTTTGGTTCTGTCCCTGTCTGATTATCTAAACTTACACTGTCAAGGACTATCAGCTCAGTCAAGAAACAACAGTAGTTTTATTAAAGAAAAATTCAAGGGATTAACCCCCCTCCCTTGATAAAGAGGAAGCCATCTTTAGTGTACTTTCACTTTGCAGAAACTAGACCAAGTCTCATTTACTGACATTGTCATTTTTAACACCATAAAAAAAGAATCACAATTTTAAGAACTTAAAAGTATGTTATAAAAATATCTTATAAAGTAAAATTCTAGCAATTTCATTATTGAATACAAACTACATTTTGGACTTAATTTATCATACTCAAAATAATCAACTTAAATCCCCCAAAGACCTCAAGCAAAACCAGAATCCCTATATAAGAGCTTTTATTGCAAACTCAGTTATGTTACTTTATCTTTTTTTTTTAAAAAATATATATACAGCTATTTTTTCCCCTGAACTTGTACCAGCTGAAAGTACTCCAGTTCACATCTCAGTTTACCACAGAATCAGGTCCGACAGTCATCTAGAAAAGTGCATCTTGTAATTAACACATGCAACAGTGAAAAGATGCTGTCAGCACTCAATTTCTACTGATTCCCACTGTGACCTTCAGTTTCTCCAACTGAAGGAATGAAATAACACTTGTCTGCCCTCCAGGCACAATGTCTCAAACATGGGCATTCGAAAAACTTGAAATTCTGTTTAAGACCTCATTGTTTTACCATCATAAAGCTGTAATAAACATGCAAACCTGTATTACTGAATGATTCAGAATTTCCCTCCCAGGTACCGTTAGGAACTGTAGAAGTTTGCAACCTTAAGTCCACAATGATCCAGGACTTTTCTGGCACAGACACTAGCCCAAAGCCTTCACGGGAGAAAAATACAGATGAGCTAGCAGCCCAAAGCCATCCACAATTCATCCTCCTGTGGCGGTATCTAGGTTTAGTTACAAATAGCAGGCTGTGCCATTTACTGCACCACAGCTCCTACTAGCACACTGCTGAGGAAATTAAATCTGGGGATAAGTCTGGTTGCATTCTTGTACAGATAGCATGCTGCTTCATTAACAAAGGCAAACTAAACTCAATACAACATTTTCTTTTAAAATATGTTGGTTTTGCAGCTTCCTAATAAGAAGAATCAAAACCACACCATACCCGATTAGATGAGACTCCTACAACTCTCTCTGTCTCTGAGTGCACTACTCCTAACTGTAATGTCAGGCAACAGCCTCGTTTTTTTTAGACAAAAGAGGAATCCAGATAGCAAGTATGGAAGACAAGAGGAAACAGAAGTGTGAAAGAAAGTACAGCTGACCACTAGAATCAGGCCAGCTCAATGCACTTACTAGTCCATTATGATTATGTTTGGGTGGGGTTTTGTTTTGTTTGTTTTTTCTTTTTTTTCTTTTTCCTTTAAAAATTTACAGGAAAGATTGATACTGTATAAAAATTTACTATAAAACCGAAGAACTTCCCAGGTGCATGCGTGCGTGTGTGTGGGCATACGTGTACACAAATGAACAAATACATTATAACGCTACCTCTTCTTCGTTTTTTGTTTGGTCCCAGCTCTTCTTCATCCTCTGTCACTGTGTCCATGTCTTGCTCTTTACGTTCAATTTCTTTGCTCTCTGTACTAGTATCAAGATCTTCCCGTTCCTCCTCCCTGACACAATAAAATAAACAAAAGGTGACTAACTGACCAACCATGTATTCAAAGCTGAATGGAATGAAAACAATACACAATAGAATATGGCATCTTCAACACAAACAGTATTTTCCTCTCAGAAGTACTTAAGCTAGTAAGAGACCTATAATGCTTTTTAAAAATAAACTTTAAGTCATAGAATATATCAAAACCCAAAAGAAACCCACTGAACTGTAGATGGAAAGTTCCGCATTAAAGACTAAAACCTGCTCTTCAGTATTCACTCTTTCATTTGAAGAGCATTATTATAATCAGATCCTTTTTGGAGACATCTTAGTGTAGTCCTACTGACCTGAATTATTTTTTTCATGACTAAAAAAAATGTTTCCTCATCAAAATGTATACTGTTTTATAAAATGCTTATTACACATTTTTCCCTCATCTGGCAAATATAATTAAAAACCTACAGAACTACAGGCAACCATTACAGGATAACATTTATTTTATTATTTTTTCTCAATTATAGTTTCAAAAACATAGCACAAGTCTGTCTTTGGCCCATGCTCACCTTTTGCAAGCAGATTTATTTAACTAACTCCCTTCCTCAAGCAGGTAAAGATACAGTGTTGTATATACACTTTGCTTTTTTTTCTGGAATCATATACAGCTGCAGGTGCATGAATCTTACCACCTGAAACCATACAGTTTTATTAATAGAACAAAAAATCTTGGGTTCATGGAAATCACCTGGGATAGCACAGCATTTTTTTAAAAAATGCTATTAAATTTGATTCATAAACTGTTAATGTGAGGTCAGTATTATCTAGCTCAAATCAGACCAATTCCTCAAATTAGAAAACGAACTAGAATGGTCTATTATGATATGAAATCAATGCAAGACAAAAAGTAATGCAAAAAAACCCAAATTAGATTTTTCAAGTTTCTCTTGTCATTAGGTAAAACTGTCAAGCTTCCAATATAATTATGAGTATAATAAAAGTTGATTTTAAAAATAAAATCACTTTCATAAAGCAATTCTAGAACACCAGGAAGAAAAATAAAATGAACAGTAAGGGCTATATATTTAAATTAAAATATACCTTTCTATGTGATCAAGTCAATGAAAACTACAAGGTAAGGTCTGGCCACATAACTGAGAAGTGCTGTATCATACATATCACAGTAATACCATGTATCATACCCAACAGATACTTCTACAGCAGGATTTCTTTGCTCCTCTTCCTTCAGCTTTTCTTGTTTCTCTTTCATTTTTAACTCTTGTTCTTTTAACCTTTCTTCTTTCCTCTTACGTATCCTAAGAGTAAGAATAATATAGAAAACCAGTTGCAATTAATCTAGTATCTGATCTGGCCACATCTTTTCTCTTTTATACTACAGCATTCTCTAAAAATAACAGTAATGTGGGAAAGCACAATGCTTAGCACAGTGAAGTTTCACTCCTGTCAAGGGTCTCAAGAAACCAGCATACAACACAAACACTACTATTGTTTCTTATATGCCTTTTGCAATCAAGGAATTAATCTAATTTGTAGCAACAAAATTTAGCTTTCCATATCCTAGTTTCACCTTGCTGCTGCCGCCTCTCGTTCTTTGCGATGCTGTTCTGCCTTTAATTCTCTGAACTCCTGTTTTGCCTGTCGTAACACATCAACAGAGTCCTCAATGAAATCTCGAGTGGAGACGAGAGTCAGCAGTTTCCCACAGAGGGCATGAAGGATCTTCATCTTTTCTCCTAATAAAATTCAGACTAATGTTTATATTTCATTATACAACCGATAAATAAAATCATAGAATCATAGAATAGTTTGGGTTGGAAGGGACCTTTAAAGGTCACCTAGTCCAACCCCCCTGCAATGAGCAGGGACATCTTCAACTAGATCAGGTTGCTCAGAGCCCCGTCCAACCTGACCTTGAATGTTTCCAGGGATGGGGCATCTACTACCTCTCTGGGCAACCTGTTCCGGTGTTTCACCACCCTCATTGTAAAAAATTTCTTCCTTAAATCTAGTCTAAATCTACCCTCTTTTAGTTTAAAACCATTCCCCCTCGTCCTATCGCAGCAGGCCCTGCTAAAAAGTTTGTCCCCATCTTTCTTACAAGCCCCCTTTAAGTACTAACAGGCTGCAATAAGGTCTTCCCAAAGCCTTCTCTTCTCCAGGCTGAATAACCCCAACTCTCTCAGCCTTTCTTCACAGGAGAAGAAAGGCTTACTCTTACACACTCCAGACTGAAAATTGTTTCTCATTCAAGAAAAAGTGAACAGTCAAACATTCATAGTGCACCAGGTGCACTTGCAAAGAGGCATTTCCTGAAATACCTGCTTTGCTCAGAGATTCCAACCTTTATTTTTAATTTTTTAACTTTTAGCACCAAAAGGAGAGAATGCAATGTTATCTTCAAAAAGGAAGAGTAGATAGTAATTTTTTCTCTATTTCCAAATAACAAACAAAAGACCCAAACCAGAACAGCAATAAAAAGCAGGGGTGAATCAAACACTCACATGCTTCTCCCAGAGATGCCCTTCTGCAAGTAAAACTAACTTTTTTTTTTAAAATGGGATTTAAAAAAACTACTCAGAAGTAATGAGACTGCCTAGCTCTGCAATCTCTGATCTGGTGGGACCTGCTTGTGGGGGCCAGAGCATGGGGGAGGGTGTTGGTCTAAGTGACCTCCAGAGGTCCTTTCCAATCTAAATTATTTTATGATACAGTAAATTTTGACTATTATTGATCAGAAGGAGTTACAAAACTGGTCACTTGATAAGCAACCTAACCATGTCTAACTTTTATTATCTTTTATTACCTGGCAACAAATCATACACTGAGGTACTTGAAAGTTTCTTCAAGAGGCCAGGATTACTTAATCTCAGCTCCATGCAAGCATCATCAGTAGCATCAAACCCTCCTCGTTTCTGGTAACGGTATTTCGCATTGGCTGATGTTACATCAGCGCCTGATGCTAGAATGTGAAGTCTGAGAATCTCAGAAAGAGTGCAGCTATCAAGATCCAAGTTTTTCAAATTGCAGCCTACAGTTGAGAAGAATGAACAGTTATTTTATATAGACATTTAAATGTATATAAATATAAAAAATGTGCTTTAAAATACAGACTAAAATAAGAACAGTAACAAAACAAGAAGTGAAACCCACACATACCCTGATGTAACTGGGGCCATGCAGCTGCCAAAGTTGCAACTGCAGACAGTGCAGATTTTGTGGGGTCTGCATCTTCATCCAAAGCCTCTGTTAAATCTTTAAGGAAATAAACACTTTATTCTAGTGAAAATTAAAACTTGTACTGTGGAGGGGAGGAAAGCAAGCCGTTTTTTAAAAGTTGCAGACAAAGCGAAAAGAGGGCCAATATTTACAAAAGCATCAATGTATTCAAAACTCAATTCAACATCCAAATTAAAATTTACATATCTTTAAATGCAACTAAAAATCCGACTAAAAAGCTAAGGACATGCACCACATGCTATAGGCTCTTCTCCCTATATATAAGCTGTTAAAGCCACCACAATGCACAAAACATGCACAATGGCAACATAAAATGCAGCAAAACCAAATCCATAAACACACTTTAAAGCAAAAAAAAGTAACAATGCAAGAACACCTGTATTTCATTCCCTCAAATGAACTACTATTTCCTACCATCATTTTCTTTTTAGGAAAGACCATCCAAACCAATCACACATTTTGATACTGGTTATCACCATTCAGTGTATACTTTTAATCTGTAACTTAAATATAGCCTCATGGTTCTGCACAAATACCATTACTAAGAAACCATGTTTCACCAAAACAAGCATCTCCACTTAATAAGGAGCATCACACATTAGCAAACTGACCAGGAAAGCAGGGCAGTGAAAGGAAGAAACAGCAAAATTCCTGTTTCTTAGACAGAAGTTTCCATAGCACTTACAGGTATTTCTCCAGAGGGTTGGCAGAATTTTTTCAGCGTTGTATGCTGTTTCAACAATTTCACTTTATCCAAAGTGAGTCCAAATCACGAGTCCAAATCATTAAGCAGTTACAAAGTTACCAAGTCAATAAAGAGCCACAAATCCAAACTAAGACTCCATAAAAAACAAATTCACAACAGTCTTCTATGATGATTGATGTTTGAAAACTGTCACCCAGACATTGCAAAATTAACCTCTACATCTCCCCTCTCGCTGTATCTGTATAACAAGGTTTGAGAAAGTACTGTATACACCAAAACCCCACACCCATGGTGTTTTCTGTTGCAGAACCACCGCCTGTACAGAATTTAAGTAAGCAAACATGCTGACTACTACTAGTTTGGTTAGTCAGTATTACAAAGCCAAGAACATGTAATTCTTCTACAGGAAAGAAGATGTCTCAACAAGAGTGACAAGAAATGGAAGTTCCAAGGCAAGTAAAAGATAATAGATATAGCACCCTGCCCACGGCTCTGCTAAACTAGAAGTGAAACGGCAGATTTTTGTAATTGCCTGCCCCATATAGTCAAATTAAAATATGAAAGTTACATTACATATGTAATATGTCCTCTGAATAATAAATAATCTAATCAGCTATCCTATGATTACCTGACAATGGAATCCTTGATTATATTGCCCAAGCAATGCTCTCAGTAGTTAAAAGATACAGTTTAATTGCTAAATTCAACAGTAATTAAAATACAGTCTAAATTTGTTAACACCGTATCAAATCTGTAACTTTATTCAATTAACAAGAGCAGCCTGTATTGTTGAAGATAGTGCCCATGTTTTATATAAAGGCATTTTATAGATTGGACATAAACTTTAAGCATGAGAATACGCACCGTCTTCAAGAGAGAAATTAAAGGAACCTTCCTGTACCTCATGCATCTGCCTTACAGGGGAACCACAGGATTCACTTGACTTCAACAAGGAGTGCTCTTGTGTTCCTATCTACCTCTAATGAAATAAAGACTAGCAGAAAGGGTCAAAGTTTCTCATTTAACTAGTCAGCACATTTGGCAGCCCTTAAACACAGGACATAGTGGACAACAGTGGTGTGGCAACAGTTGCCTTCCCTTTCCACCAAGCATTGCAGAAGGCAAAAGAATTGGGGGAAGTCTTAGACCTCAGATTCAAAACACAGAAGGTACATGCAACAGTAACATCTGAAAATATTTTCAAGGCTCCCAATCCGATGCTTCTTTCTACCTTTTCAGTTACACCAGCACACTGTTTTGAGAGACCATCACTAGATACTTGATGAGCATAACAAAGTAGTCAGATCAATTCCCCGACCCACAGCAAGGCTTCATAAATAGCTGAGCTGAAAAAAATAAGGGAGAAGCACCTCACAAGGGCATTAAAAACCAAAATTGTGCAAAGGGGATATAGAGAATACTTTAAGTTTGTGTTATGGACAAACCCTTTGCAAAGCACTCTGTGTAGCATCAGTAAGACCTTACAGGTAGAGCGCCCTGCAAAATAAGGCTTAGAGCATTCACAGACCGTGGACCGTATCACTGAGCTGCCTGAACACAGAACAGAAACAGTCTACTTAGCATAAAGGCACAGATATAATGTCCCTGACCAGATAAATGTGGAACAAAGCCTGCACTCCTTCTGATCAGTGGTTAGCATACACAAATGTCTCGGAAAACATGGGCAACTTCAGCCTTAGAGTGAAGACCAGAGGCAGAGTGACTGTGAGATCCTTTACAGGAAAAACAGAGACATGGTAGTATCTAGGAGTTGTGGATGCATACTTCCAAGTCTTGAAGGACAATGAATATTGAATTCTCCATTATAGTTGTGCTGGGGAGTTTTAGATTTTAATCTAGTTAGGTCCAGAATTTTTTTTTTATAGCTACAGATAAAGACCTTCGAGAAGATTTCGGAAAATGCCTTGTTTCCTGACCCTCAGGAGAAACATCTAACAGTGCTGAAGGAAGAGGAGGAAGGTGAAGAAAAGTTTCCCTCACCTCCAAAACATAAGCAGTGCTGTTAAAAGCTTATTATGCTTTGCTGGATACAATCGTAGTAACAATGAGCTTGCTTTTTCTCTATTCCCCCCCAGACCCCACTGTCCATGCCCGGTTTAAAGCTTTACTTTCAGATAAAAGAGAAAAAACAAGTCCATTTACATACAATATCCATGCATAATAAGACAAGGTTAAAAAAAGGAATGCCATAAATCATGCAGTTTAAAGTTAATTCCAGTGGAATTTCAGTTTTTCAGCGGTAAAATTAAGGATCTGACCTTTGGTCTCAGCATCAGCTATTTGATCTTTGGCCACTTCCTCTTCCTCTTCGGCCATTGCCTGAAAGATGGCAGTCAGGAAGAAAAACAGCAATTCACATAGTGGGCCTTCAGTGTCATTTCCTACAAGAGCTTCCTCTAAAACTTCTGTGAATAAAGTTTAAGAAGCGTCACTTTTGCCGCAAAGTTGGAAAACAATTATGTACTGAAGAACGAAAACATTTCTTTTTCCCCTTCAGGTATGATAATCAAGTTACTTTTCCATAATTTACTGCCAATATTCCTAAGGTGATGCTGTCAGAAAGAGTGCCGACAAAACAACATTATTTTCTTAATATATAACTGCAAGAGTAAAGTACAAGTAGACATTTTAATAAGTAGATTAACAGCTTCTACATTGAAATTAATTTTGATTTTCTAAACACTGCAGAAGTTGACTGTGAAGAGAAAACTGGATTGATATGTACGTGTAAGCACTGACATTAAAGCTGCACAGAAAATTTTGTAGCACTGGTACTTCAGTGCACTTAAGATGTTTGGTTGTTTGGTAGGAGAAGGGACACCACAAAATTGGGGCACCTTGCCACATAAACAACAACTTGCCTAAAGTCACTCCTTCAGGAAATTCATCTTGAAGATCAAAAAGTTCCCCAAAAGCATATAAAAACTCCAAAACCATCAGAGCATCACCAAAGATCTCAGGAGGAAGTCTCGTCTTCACTGGCATTGGAACAGGAAGTTCCTGCAATCCAAATGGGACAACTTAATATTGTATTTTGTTTCTGCAGAGTACACAAGTGATTAAAAACAGTCTATGATTTTAAGGAGTGTATGTGTTAGGCTTCTTTACGTTTTACTGAAAATAGTTCTGCAAGATACATAATCAATTATCACAGTAACACCTGTGGTAGGACTAACTTTAAAAACCAAAGAGCATGCAACTTGGCCATAAATCTTTTGAGATAAAAGTTTATTCATGTTCATGAAGTTGAATAATTTTATACCTTTGTTTAAAGGAACTCAAATCCACTACAAATTAAGAACACTGGCTGTCAAGATTTTTCCTTTAAACCTGTATTATTTCACAAGAGTTTTGAATTTAAGTTTGTTGGAACTGTCCAGACAAGCAAAAATAAACATATTTTTAAAAAGTTACTCATTATTGCTTGCAAAGACAAGCAAACAAAAGGCCAACACATTCACATAAAAACACACCCATCTAATACTAGGATATGCAAGATCATGTCTAATGACTGAGTGTTCTGGTATTTATGTTTTTGCATTGGTAAGCCAGTTATGATAGCTGAAGACATTCTAAAGGGAGCTGATGTAACCATGTACCAAGACCACTTAACAGAGACACCACCTCCAAATCACAGATGACAGCATTTAACACTGAGTTGACTTTCAAATTAATATCTTGATGTAAATCTTCAAGATTTGTCTTCACTTAATGTTTCTTAGCAGACAGAGTCAAACTATTTCCAGAAGGATGGCCCCTTTCCACAAACATTAACGAGAAGAATGCCAAATACTATGCTTTCAGAAGAACATAGTACATTTCCTGAGAAGGGAATTTTTTGAAAAGCAGTCTATGGGTAGATCTTTCTTCTTGCTTCCTCACCTAAACTCATCTTTATTCATATTCTTGTCAATTTTCACTGTAGTGATGATACTACTCTCCCACCCCTCCCTTTTTCTTTTCCAATTGAAACATAGCAGCACTGTTTTGCACAGCTTCCTCTCGTTTTGACAATGCTCTTCCCTTTCTTCAGTTTCCTCTCCCTTTCTATACACAGCTAAGAGTTTTCACTCTCACCTTCAAAGGCCTATACAGCTCTCCTTGCAAATAAATTCAGTTCTCATATTCCTCCTAACACTCTCCTCTACTCCCACTTGTCCTTTTGCGCTGTCATGTTTCCCTGTGTATCTCAAATAAACCCCTGTCCCTGTGTTTCCGACAATTTTGCCTCCTTTCATTATCCCCTGCCAAAATTAATCATAATAAAGTGTACATAAATGTATAACACTAGACAATCTTCCATTATGTGCAGCCACACTATGTTCTTGTTTAGAACATTAAGTTGTTTGGGAGGTAAATTCTTGTTACTTTCTATAGGTTTCCAGGATCATCCAGAAAGATACTCGTTAAGCAAGGATACTGCTAGAGTTTAAATCAAAAGAATGCCGCAGGGAGTAACAAGCTAATGTCCTTTCTACTTTTTGCAGCCAAAAATTTTGTTTCTTCATTACTCAAATCTTTTAAGTAACTCAGCTTTATTCTAGGTGAGGTCATGTTATATATTTAACAGAAAAGTTAGGCATACTCAATACCCTCCACTCAGTAAGATCAGTGCTTTAAAAATACATCTGTTCCATGCTAAGACTGAGAACAGCCTGTAAAGTTTTTTTGGAGGGTGAAAATGCAGATGCAGATGATCCTATTAGCATCACCACTGGGAAATATTACATGATGGTGGGTGATTCACAATCCCTAGCATTCAGATCAGATCTAGATCTGCCTCTGCATTAGGGAATCTAGCTCGGGGACCCTGTAAAGTACAAGCCTGAGCTATTCCAAATTCAAGCATACCTTAAGATCATCACACTCCATATCTTCTCTAGGCTTACTCCACTGTTTCAGGTATTCCACATATTTTCTTTTCTCTTCACGCAGCTTCTCTCTTTCCTGAAAGACAGAGTCATAACTGTACATAAAATATGGTCAGATCACCCTATTAGTTTCTAAAACCGCACCACTTACTATTTCAATCACACTGAAAAATAAAACAAAAATATATTTAATTAGAATTAAATAATCTAATAATTTTTATTTTGTATAAGAAGATATTGGCAAAAATGTTTAGAATTAAACTGGTGATACTTTTTTGGATTAGACATGGGGTTTTGTTGTGGGGGTTTTTTTGTTTGTTTTTAAACAGAAGTGGTTGAGGAAAAAATATCTAAAAATAAGAGTATTTATGAAAGTTGCTGCAAAAAAAGACCATCAAAATAGACAGTGGATGTGGCTGTGGTAAAATATAATGGAATAAATAATTTCTTCATATTCAAAGTGACAAAAAGTTATTGAGCATTTTCCATCCAAAGAGAAACCACAAAGAAACCCACAACCATTTAATATGCTGTGAATCTGATGCAGTACAGCGTCTTTAACACTTAAGTAGAAGACAACCATCAAATCAAATACTGTCATGCATTATTGGCAAAAAAAACCACCACCACATTACTTCAGAAGTAAGTTCAAAGTGAACTTTTTGTGAACTAAAATTATGATATAGAGAATGTTACCCAGAAATACAAATCCATAATCATATAACAGCCTATTCTTCTAAAGTGCATTTCTATGAACTGAAAACAGTTAATGGAAAATAACTTGAAGCAGATAGCAACTAAGTAAACTAGAAAGCCATTATACTGTTCCTATATGAAACACATATACTGCAAATGCATTACTTTTTCCTTTTCTATTTTGAGTCTCTCTTTCTCTTCTTTCTTCTTCATCCTTTCTTCTTCCACAATCTTCTTTAATTCTTCTCTCTTTTTTTCCTTATCTTCTTTCTCCTTTTTCTTAGCTTCTATAGCATTTGCCTTCTCTCTTTTTAATTTAGCTTTTTCAAAAGCTACAGAGGAAAAAAAACCAAACAAACCAAAGTTATTTTTTCTTTTATAAAACGTTAATTTTATTTAACTGTGCTAAATAGACTGATCTTTTTATAATTACCATATGAAAAAGATATTGTTATGAAGACTGAATTGTTTCTATGCCAACCAGAAATTCAATCACTTGAAAGTTCTTTAGAGAATCAGAATTTTAAGCCTAAGTATTATACATGTTTTATAAGGTTGTCATCACTGTAATAAAGTCAAATTTCTCTGTTTTATGAGTATACAGAAGTTTATTACTTGTTTATTGGTTTCTATCAAGTGGTATATAAAGATGAGAACTGATTCCAACTGCATATAATTACAGCAACATATTTAGTAATGACTGCTTAATAAAAGCATGTCGCAACTAGGTGTGGCATATAACCATGAAATATTTGTGATAGTAACAACCTTTAAATAAGAGATCTTTAAATCTTTAATTATTACGGAATTACTGAAAAGTCAATACATTTGAAACCTACTTAGTATTTCAGTGGGTTTTGTGCAAGTTTTGCTTCTGTTATACAGTTTAAGCTGAACTTTAATTGGTAATAAATGTTATTGCCTGAGGACATCCAGATTTCTTTGTAGTTGTCTGCAGAAGAACAGCAGGATACAAATTGCCACTTTCTGTGGACAGACAATGTCTGTCAACCCACACACAGGCTAACAAATAAAAGGGGGTCAGGAGGCTTACCGTTTTAATTGAATAAACAAGAAAGCTAGAATCACAAGTGAAGAAAATGAAAAGAGATCCTTACTTCTATTACCAAGTGGATGGCACTCAAAAAAAGATTTTGATTACATTTTCCTGTAAAATTCTGAAAATGGGCTAGGTTGCTTTTACAGATAGCTACTACACATACACTGCAAACAAAAGCAGTGAAGCTGATCTCCCATAGTCTTCTACATACTGAGAAGCTTGATTTTTCAAGGTACTTGGTATTTTGCTACCTTTTCACATCATTAGTAAAGTACTATAACAGCTCTTTATAAGAGACTTTATGAATATCAGTAATTGCCATTCCAATTAAACATTATTTACAGGTAAAATGTTTAGATTAATATATGATTACATTAATATAGTATATTTGAAAGTGTACTTTTAAGTTTATTGTATGGATGGGATCATACTTTTCAAACAACCAGTATAACATGTTGCTGGTTTCAAATTAAAGAACTGCATCTTTTTAAACAAAAAGTTTATAATCATGGGCCAACATTGGGCCAAAAATGAACACACAGAACAAGTGTGACACCACAGGTTTTTTAAATTATTATTATTGTTGTTACTTATTTGATGCATTCATCATCATTTTGTGTCCTCAACAAAGAACACTAAGTATTTACAAAGTCTGAATATCAACATGCTGCGACAACTTTCTAGTGAGGTGGCAGAAAATACAAAGAACATATTTGGATCTCCATGTTATACAACTTAGTTGTCTCCCACGGCATTCTCCTAGAGA